CTACTTAACATATTTCTAAGCTCCAGATGTTTGCCAATTATTTTTAATACATAAGGCACAGGTAAATCTGCTCTTGTTAGGAAACTTGATGATCTCATTATTTATTTTTATTTTTTTGAGTTGGAGTCTCACTTTATTGCCCAGGCTGGAGTGCAGTGGCACGTTCTTGGCCACCGCAGCCTTGACCTGCTGGGCTCAGCTGATTCTTCTGCCTCAGCTTTCAAGTAGCCAAACTACAGGTGTGTGCCACCATGCCCAGCTAATTTTTTGATTTATTGTAGAGATGAGGTCTCATCAAGTTGCCCAGGTTGGTCTTGAGCCCCTGGGCTCAGGCAGTCCTCTCACCTTGTCCTCCCAAAGTGGTTGGGATTACAGGTTTGAGCCACCGGATTATTTCATTATTTAGACAATGACTTCTTAACCTCAGTGTTATTTTCATCTTGGTCTGGATAATTTTTTGTCCTGTGAAATATAGGATGTTTAGTAATATCTCTGGCCTCATACCAATAGTAAATCCCAAGTATAATAACCAAAAATATCTCCAAACATTATCAAATTGCCCCCGGTTGAGAACCACTCAATTAGACATATGACCCTGAGCAAACTATTTCCCTTTAGAACTTAGTCTCTTCATCTTTAGGGTAATCCTTTTTTTCCTGTTTTAAAGTTTTTTATTTTTATTTTTTGATTTGGAGTCTCACTCTGTAGCCCAAGCTGGAGTGCAATGGCACACACTCATGGCCACCCCAGCGTTGACCTGTTGAACTTCTGGGCTTTGGCAATCCTTTCGCCTCCGCCTTTCAAGTAACCAGAACTACAGGGTGCGCTACTACATCTGGCTAATTTTTTGTTGTTGTTTATTGTAGAGATGAGGTCTCACCAAGTCGCCTGGGCTGGTCTCGAACCCTCGGGCTCAGGCAATCCACTCATCTCGGCCTCCCAAAGTGCTGGAATTACAGGCTGAGCCACTGAGATGGGTCCTTTTTTTGTTTTAAAACAAAGTTTATTAGAGAAAGAAGAGGGGAAAGAGAGAGACATGCCAAAGCTGGGCGAATAAAACCGCCTCTAGGGTAATTCTTGTATATGTAAAGTCCCGTGTAATTGGCTAACAATCCCAGAGATCTCAGACTTGAGGAGCATGGGAAGTCATACTGAGGAAGTCAGAATGGATGAGGCAATCCTATGGATCAGCACCTCTAGGACAGGATTTTAAAGACCTAACTATGAGGATTTCAGCCACCAACCCTAAGGCCCATTACTCAGTCTCAGCACTTTCCGGCCCTGTCTGTGTTCATGCCTTTGTAACATATGCTTACATGTGTGCCTTTCCTACTGAATTATACATTTAATCTTGGCTGGAACAGTCTTACATTTATATTTTCCCACAACATTTGTCTTCGTGCTCTCAGATAGTATCTGACAATTAAGTTTTTAAAAAATTATTTTAAAGCAATCATAAAAAGCTTGATGGAATTGAATTCAAAGCCAGGGGTTACAGGGGACTTTATATTGGCAGAGCAGAGATGGAGGGTGGTAGATGGAGGTGCTGTCATAGACTTGCTTAGGGGATAAACAAGGCTTTGCAAGTGCCAAAAGCTAGTTGGTGTAAAACCTAGGAGACCATATCTGGTTATCCAAGTATATATTGTTTAATGATTACAAAGCACTTTTTGCTTGCTGTCTCATTTTATTCTTGCTGCCTTACGAGGTATGGAAGGTGTTATCCCATGTTACAGAAGAGGAAACAGAAGCGCAGTATGTCAACCAATATTAAGTCCTGAACTCTTTCATCTCCAAGGTGTTGTTCAGTTTCTGTGTTCCATAATCACATGTGCAGAGGTGAGTGGTGGTGGGTGGGGGGAGGGAAGAGTGGTGATGGGCCAGTGGGGAATGAAGGAAGAGGAAGACCAAGAGTCATGCAAAACTCTTTTCTTTTCTCAGGGAAGCTGCAGCCTTGAGGAACCAGGGAGGGGGGCATGGTCCAAGGCTGGGACCACATGTGTTTGGCTTCCTCAAAGCAAAGACTTGAGTCAGCCAGGTTCTGGCACCACTCTGTATGTGTGACCACGCACTGTGGTCCTGTTGAGCAACCTGAAGGTCAAAGATGTGCCCCTTACCTGTGTGGGCTCTGTCCGCACTTGCTTGACTGTGTACAGTTCCCTGTGGAGGACTTCCAGGCAGAGACTTCTTAAGTGGGACCTTTAGGCTGAGCCTTCCTATGACAGCTCCCTGGAGTTGATGCAGGCAAGTTGGAAAGGAAGAGTAGCAGCAGCATTCCAGCAGAGGAGACAGAAGGAGTGAGGGCAGGGAGGGGGCATGGGGATACAAGGTGGGAAGCAGGTGCAGCTGCAGACATGGGCAGGTGCAAGATCATGGAAGGTCTTATGTCTTATGAGATGTAGTCTGGACTATACAAGAAACACGGAGGTATTGCTGAGTTTTAGACAGAAAGAAGGCACCACAATTTTCTCTGACCTTTGCATAAGAAATATATTTGATGGCCGGGTGTGGTGGCTCAAGCCTATAATCCCAGCACTTTTTGAGGCTGAGGTGAGAGATTGCCTGAGTCCGTGGGTTTGAGACCAGCCAGGGCAACATGGTGAGACCTTGTCTCTACAATAAATCAAAAAATTAGCTGGGTGTGGTAGCATGCGCCTGTATTTCTGGCTACTTGAAAGGCTGAGATGGAAGGATCGCTGGAGTCCAGTAGGGCGAGGCTGCGGTGGCCGGGAGCGTGCTACTGCACTCCAGTCTGGGTGACAAAGTGAGACTCCGACTCAAAAAAAAAAAAAAGAAGAAATATATTTGAGTTAAGTCCTACTGGAGTTGGAGAGTATGTGGTGTCGAGGAGAGCCTGAGTAGGGGAAGAATAGGAATGGAAGGGACAGGCTTGGGTAAGTTTTGGATGAGATTATCAGGGCTGCGAGACTGATGGGCTCATGCTCTTACTGAGTAAAAGCTCTTATTAAATCTGAATACCGCCATGAAGTATAAAATACTGTCCACATGAACAGATGAAGGGAAGCTTGTCATGGTTTAGTAAACTTAGATGATGGTACACATCATGTCAGCAGCAGTCAGAATTCAACTTCTGGTCTGTTATAGTCAAAAGCCTTGATCTCTTTTTTTTTAGTTGGAGTCTCACTCTGTCACCTAGACTGGAGTGCGGTGGCCGCTCCTGGCCACTGCAGCCTCTACCCGCTGGGCTCTGCGATCCTTCCACCTCAGCCTTCCAAGTAGCCGGAACTACAGGTGCACTCTGCCACACCCGGCTAATTTTTGATTTATTGTAGAGACGAAGTCTCACCGAGTTGCCCGGACGGGTCTCAAACCCGTGGGCTCAAGCAATCCACTTGTCTCAGCCTCCCAAAGTGCTGGGATTACAGGCTGAGTCACCGAGCCTGGCCTAAAAGCCTTGATCTTAACAGTCTTGCGGGACTGCCTCCCAATAGCTGGATGTGGGGAGGAGGAGTCTAGGATCATGCCCAGGTTTCTTGCATAGGCCAATTGGGGAAACTTAGCTAACACAGGACAAGAAGCAAGTTGTGGGGAGGAATGGATTCAGTTTGGGACTCTAGTTTGTGCTTTCAGAAAGTGCCAGTTTAGGAGGCTGTGCATGAGGAACACCAATATGTCTCTCTGCAGCCTTATTCCCTCCCCTCCTGAGCTACACAGTGGGCCTTGGAGCACTCAGCTTTCTGCATTCTGACACCCATCTCCTGCTCTCCAGGGCAAGGTGAAAAGGCTTTTTTAAGGGGAAGCCCCCAAATCTGGAAAACACCCTGCAGGGAGACAAGGATGAGAGATGTGTAGAAGTCAAGGGTTAGGACTGACAGGCCCTAGAGAACCAACTCTTTGGTTCTGATGTTGATGAAAAAGGCTTAGGAGACTGGTCCTTTCCCCAGCATCAGACTCCCCAGAGACCCACCAACCATAATAATCTAATCAGGTCAGGTTCTGGGGTCCATAACCCCTCAAGTTCAGGTCATGCTGTCAGATCCAACCTGCCAAATTTGAGGCTTCACCGTCAGCATGTGTAGATTTCTAGCAATGCCCAGAATCTGACAGGACCCAAGGTCACAGGTGAGGGCTGTCAGAGTGATAGATGCAAGGCTGATGACAGGGATGGTGGGAAGGGGACGCCGAGGTCTTTGATTCTCAACTCGGCACTTTGCTAGGAGGCCCCTGTGTACACGGCCTCCCATGAGTGGGATGAGAAAGTGGCGGACCCTCTGTTCTCCACGGGTCAGGAATAAGAAGCACTTTGTTCCTTGGAAACATGACAGTGCTTTCCTTCTTACCTTGCCACGAGAACAAAGCTTATGGGTCAGAGAAAAACATCAAAGAAAGCCCAGGCATTTAGGGACTTCTGGCAAGGAGGCTGGAACTAAGTGTTCTGATGACCCCGGAGAGGAGGAGACCATATAGCAAAGTCTCTTTCCTCCCACCCATCCAACCCCCTCAGCACAGAGGCTCCCCAAACTCAGGGAACATTTTCTCCTTCCAGACAAGTCTTTACCCAGAAACGCTTCCAGCCTTTCCTCACCTCTGGGCTGTCCTCAGCCTTAGGCAAGAAGGATCCCTGCCCCGCTGTCTTCAGCTCCTGTCTGTGCTCCAAGCTGCTGGAGAATTATCAGGTTAGCCTTCTCTTCCCTCAGCATATTTTTAATGAAAGGGGTGCCAGAGATAATTGGGAAGAGTCTCTCATTCAAGAATCAGTTAGAGCTCTTATTCTGCAGGTGTGGATGAGACTGAGAAGGATCTGGGGCTGGGACATATGGGTGAAGGTAGCCAATTATCTGAGTGGCCTTGGGGAAGCATCTCATCTTTCTGGGTCATGAAGACTTGGGCAGGGTGATCTCTGAGATACTTTCTAGCTCTTAATGGGTAGAGAAGGCACTCAGGGAAGGCTGGAGAATGCTGGAGCCTCTGGGAAGGGGCAGACAGCCACTCTCGGCCGACCCCTGCCCCCAACCACCTTACCTCTACCAGCAGGAGGAATGGTACCAGCTGTGGTCCGGCTCCTTTTCCTCCAGCTTGTTCTAATGGCACTTCCAGGCGTGGACACCAATAAGCAGTTTTTCCTCAAGAACTTCCACAGCTTAAACATCGACTATCCCAAGGTCAAATACTCAAAGGGTTTCCAGGGCTACTGCAATGGTTTTATGGCCTATGTGCGGGGCAAGATTCAGAAATGGTATTGCCCAAAGATCCATTATGTGATACATGCCCCTTGGGAAGTCATCAGGACGTTCTGCAAGTATAGTGAGAACTTCTGTGAGAACTACAATGGGTACTGCACACTCACCCAGGATTCCTATCCACTCACAGTCTGCTCCCTGGACTCCGAACAGCCGCCCACCAACTGTCGCTACAATAGCGACCTGACCAACCAAAGGCTCTACCTGCTCTGTTCCCGCAAGTATGATGCTGTACCAAAAGGTATCATTGGCCTCCACTAGGGAATTTAATTACTGAGCCACCCCCCACCTCTGCCACCACAGGCCAGCCTGTCTCCATTTCCAACAATAATACTTCCTGACTCCTGAGGCAGGCAGGATCCCCTCCCAAGAGAACAGACAGGTGAGAAAATGCCCAGGACTTTGGTCACCATGTAAAGTCATCCTGTCTTCTAGGTTCTTCCTAACTTGTTTACCATTTCTCCACCTCCTCCTCCCCACCATCCTCCCTCTCTCCCAGAGATTGTAAAACCCACCCAAGAAGCTGCCTGTGTCCAGTTGGCAGTGACTGTCCACCAGTGACTGGGCCAGGTCCTAAGTTCTGGATGGAGGCCCAGAACTTTGCTCACACCGTGGCAACAGGCACCAGCCTCAAGTCTCATTTCCTCATCCCCTCCACCCTTCTCATCTCAGGCTTCCCCATTTCCCTTATAATTTCCTCTCCTTCCTCACCCACACAGTGGGTATTTCTCACTATAGGAACTTCCCTGATATCTTTAGACTCACTGTAGCCTTGCTTCCCCACAACACTCAGTTGCCAGCCTGCTCCTCTCTGTGACGCCATTGCCTCCCCCTTCATGTAACCATCCTTTCCTCCCTCCTTCTGCCATGGAGCCCAGGGTGTCTCCTCCCCACACTCCCAACCACCTAGTTGCCCTGCCTTTTTCCAACCTCTTTTTCTTCCATCCTTTGTACCTTGGTTCACTGGAATTTCAAGGTATCCCCTGTCACTCATCCCCCCAAAGCTCCTGCTTCCCTTCTCCTCCAGCAGCTTCTCCCAAACCCCAGACTCCAGGGTCTGCCCTGACCAGGCAGGGAATGAGGCAGGCCCAGCTCTAGTCACGGAAAGTTCTAAAACCACGTCTGAGTTATGGGTGATATAACCCTTGGGGGAAACCTGGTGAAGGGCACTCAAGACCTCCCTTTACTGTTTTTTGTAACTTCCTGTGAACCTAGAAAATCATTTCAAAATAAAAAGTTAAAAACACACATTTGGCTCCATTCTGATTTAATTCCTTTTTCTTCAGTGCACTAGAACTCCTGCTCTTTGAATCCAGGTAGTCTCCCGCCCTCTGGCCATCTTCCTGGGCTACCCTAAGCCATCAGTGAGATCTTCTGTTCTATGTGCACCAAGACGGAGGTGGGGTGGGATAAACAGTGTCGGGCTGGTTGTTGGAGATAGATTCTCCCTTCCTCCCAGCTCCAGAACAAATTCCTAATAGGAGGCAGGTCAGCCTAGCTGGCTTCTGTTTCTCCCCCAACAGAACCTGAACTGCAGCAGAGGAGGGAGGTAAAGGGACAGAGAAGGGTCCGATAGGTCGAATCTGGGTCATAATCTGCCAAATCAGGAGTTGCTACTTCCTTTTGGGAGGCAGAGAGGAGTTGAATACCAGTGACGTGTAAACACAAGTAGCATATACTTTTTCCTCCACATCTGGTTCATCTCTTGTCTCCAAATATATTCTTCAGTTCTGTTCTCTGAAGCAGTTGTTGAGGAGAATGCTAAATTGTGGCTGGCAGGCATGAGACAAAGCAGAGTGAAGAGTGTATGGCTGAGAACCCTGAAACCTTGGGCTGTCTTGTCTCCCTCTCGCCACACCGGTGGACACATCTGTTCTTTGCCCTCACAAACAGAGCTCATTAGCTGCTGCACACACAGAGGTTTATTGTTTCCCAAGCTCCCCGGTGTTAAGCATGCAGGGCCAGGGGGCTAGCAGGCTAAGTTGAGGCTCCCCTCTACTTGCTCTTCTTATCATAGGTGCCAGCACCCTTGTAGCCACTCACATAACCCGAGCTGTCAGTCGTCTCTTCGCGTCCTGCAATGCCCTTGCCTTTGCCACTCTCATCAAAGCGCTCCTTATGGGTGCCGGTGTACTTGCTGGTGTCTGTCAGACGGTCCACTGCACCTGCCGTTGTTGCTTTCTACAAGCCAGAGGACAAGTTGGAGCCCTCCTCCTTCCCCTGCACTGTCATATCCCTTCCCCAAAGTATCCAGAGATACTTAGAACAAGTGCCTGGAGCTCTTGCTCTGTCTCTGGCATGGTGCTGCTGTCTTAGGGCCCAGATGCAGGGCAGGAACTCTGGCAAGAGACATCCACTCATGAGAGAGGAGGAGCCTGTTGTGGGAATGTGTGTGGTGTATGCAGAGGGAGGGTGGGATTTTCTGTTATTCTGGCCAGGCTGCTGCCAGAGTACTTCACCCTCAGACCCAATATGCAGAGCAGAAAGAGTTTTTGGCATAGAGGGGAAAATTAAGGAAGAGGGTAGGTGAGAGACAGGAGGCTCGAGATTAAACTTTATATAAGAGCAGGAAAGGCCAGGCTTGGTGGCTCAGCCTGTAATCCCAGCACTTTGGGAGGCTGAGGTGAGTGGGTTGCCTGAGCCCGTGGGTTTGAGACCCACCTGGGCA